TGTTCCTAATGCTGTGATGCTGTGTGCAGAGCGCCCTCTGCTGCTGGAGGCGCAGAACTACACATGTTGCATCTCAAATTGAACTAAAAGTTCAGTTCTGTGGCTTTAAGCAGCGTCTGGTTTACATTATATTTTAGGTTAATGCCGGTGCAGTCGTCACACGACCATTTAAAGTTGGAATTTGTCCACAATAAAACACTAAACTTTGCTTTCTGGAGGTTTTAAACAGCCCTAACTTGTTTAATTCCCCTTAAACAGTTTCATTTTTTTGATCGTTTTCCCTTTTCACACACACACATCTGTCCTTCTACACGTAACTTTTACTTTCTAAAGTCAAAAAGTGGTTTAAAGCAGTGATTAATGTACTAAACTTCATATCTGTTCCTATCAAATGTGGCTCTGAAGCTTCCATCCAGGAGCTTTTCTTTGTTTTTTACTACAGTGTGGAACAATAAATAATATTAGTAGTGATTATTTGTGTTAAATCAGATTTTAATCAGATTAGATGCTTTAATTACAGACATAATACATATTTTAATGTTGGTGCAGATATATTGTAGACTGAATATTTTAAATTTGACTGATCTGAGAAAGCTAGAGCATGATTTAAGTAATTCAACTTCTATATTTTCTGGTTTATTTAAAGGTTTGATGGTTCAATGTCATTATTTTGGTGCTTTTCTGTCTTAAAACAAAACTGAAGGTGTCAAAACTTTGACATAGCACACATAAAGTGTAGTAAACTAAACATGTTTTACATTTGCGGTGACAACTTCATGAAGTCATGCAAAGACAAATGTAAACTGTAATACCTTCAGGTTGTTAAAATGCAGAAATAAAACATCACACACCCAAAATAACTGACATTTCATGAATTGTACTTCAATAAACTAACAAAACGTCACATCTCATTTACTCAAATCAATTTGAAACATTCAGTCGACAAAATGTCAAAGTCGGCCTTAAAATAGTTCAAATGTCAGTAATTACAGCATTTAATTTATCTGTCACTCTAATTTATCACAAACGTTACCAAAAAACACAAAGTTGTTCAGATTTAAATCACAAAACACACACAACACAACCTCAGATTAGCTTTTTATTGTTTCAGAAGCAGCTTCTGCAGAAACACACCGACGACGACAGAACTGTGGCGACTCCACGGCGTCTGGAGAAGCTTTCACACTTCCAACTCGGCTTCCTATAAATTCAGGTTATACTAGCTTTGTTACCGTAGAATAATCTGTTAGAAACACTACAATTAAAAACAAAACAACAACAACAGAAGAAGCTCGGGGAGGCGAGTCGTGTGCGTAGCTTATAACCGACCTCCAGATGGAAAAAAAAAAAAAAAGAATAAGAAACAAAAAATGCATAAATAAATGCAGTAAGTAGAATACAAAAGGCTGCGGTGACGTAAACCCAGATTCAGAATAAACTTTTCAGTGGTTCATCCCCAAACGTGAGAATAACAACAAACCGTGCGATTAATGAAAAAATAATTTGTAGTGTTTTGAAAAAAATAAAAAATAAAAATTCGAGGAGGAAACGTGCAGCTTTACTGAAAAAATAACAAAAAATTACTACTAGAGTCTTAAAATCTGATTTTTTTTATATTGCTGATTCGCTGCTTAGCAGAAAATGACCCACAACTATAAAGATAATTAATGATGTGAATCATTTGCTGGTTTTAAATTGGAACGTGTGAACATTTGGTGCTTTTTTCTGTAAATTCAGCATCTTTGCATCGACTCTTAGTTTCTTTAAATCACTTATTTTGTTTGACTAAAAGTCCAAAAACATAAAAATAATCCATAAAATATGGTATTATGACAAACCTGAGAAGCTACAACCAACAAAGTTTTGACTTTTTTTTGCAAGAAAAATGATCGACTGACTGTCAAAACTGTAATTAAACGAGTCATTTACAGCTGAAGTAGAAGAACCTTTTTTTCAATTTTTTTTTGGAAATTACTGAATTTTCCTGACATTCAAGCAGAATAAGTTCACGTAACGTTAAGGCCTTTCAACAGCGGGTTCATTTCTTTGTGTTTTACAATTGATCTCAGTTTTAAATCTGTAAAACATCCAAGACAAACTTCCCGTGCTGCAGAAGTACGACTCTGAAAACCTAACCGATGAACAGCAACGTGCTGGAATTGCCAGAAAAATCCATCTGGCATCCATTAATCAGTCAGATGTTCCAATCTTCACTTAGTTTTGTGAAAATAAGAGGAGATATTTACCCCATTTGCAGCTTTATCAGCCTTCATACAAACAGAAAAACAAGATTTTAAGACTCTTTACATGTTAAATCCTTAAAAAGTGGGAACGTTTGTCGAGCAACTGAGAAGCTGCTTTGACAACGAAGCAAAAATGCACAACACCAGCCAGCTGGTCGCCATTTCTCTTCTGTGTTTGGAGCAGACACTCCTTTTTTTTTTCTTGCCTCTTTGGTGTTTGTTCATCGGAAGGCGGCGGTAAACAAACTCACAGTAAACACTTTCTGTGAAACACCAAAGGGCCCGGGGTGGTGCTCAAACCCGCCGCTGCTCCACCAGGGGGCAGCGACGAGCTTTGACAGCTGCAGAAACTCCCCCCTTTTGTTTCCTCTTGTGGCCAGTGAAACCAGAACAGTCTGTACCACAACCGAACACATCATGCGGTGGGATTTCCAAAACACTTCCACCTGTAACTCATAACGGAGCAAAACTGAAACAAAGAGGAAGCAGCGTTTCTCTCGTCACCATCACGGCCACTCGCAGGTTTGGCGGCGCTTCAGGATCATATAAGAGGAACTTTGCAGGCACTGAGTGGTTCTTGTGGTTTCCCCCGATCAACAGGGAACAACAACATAAAACTAAAAAACACAAAACAAAAGCGTTTTTAGAAATTCTGCTCAGTGGTTTTATAAACTCCTGATCACGTTCAGTGCTGACGCGGTGCCTTCAGCGGGGAGTCGATGCTCTGAAAACTGCACAGAAAGTTGGTTTCATCCTGTTTTAACTCCATCGCATCACATTTATGTCGACGAATTTAAGCCAGTAGGATTCTCGGTTATGATTCTGGACAGTGTGCAGCAGCAAAAAGGTGCCAGATTCATTCTGATTATGACAAAAGATGATCTGATCCGTACGCACAGAAAGCAAATACTCCAGCCAGAGCTCCTGCAACACATCACCAAGAACCTCCGTTGTATACATGTGTCAAGCATCATCTGACAACAACATTTTAACGTCAATTTAATTTGGAGGACGAGGTCGTAATTGCAGGGAGCCAAATCAAAGTAGGGAGGAATCATTTTGTTGGCATGTCCCAAACGTTGGCTTTCATGCTGCCGTTCAGGTCACCGCTCATCATCGGTGATGGCTTCGACCTGATTGTTGGATCAGTTTGAAAGAATTTGCTATAAGACTTTGAGATCCACGGTGGAATTGCAAAGTGGTCAGGGGAGCACTGCAAATGTTGCAGGAGCACTGAGAGCAGTGTATCACTGTGCAAGGACACTACGCTGAAGGGAATTACGTATACGTCTGATGTTATGTAAAGTCTTACAGGGTGTGATCAAAAGTAAACCCGGTTTAAATTTAGCTGCAATCCCATTCGAAGTTCGGTGCAGCACTACTCTGCTCCCAGGGCTCCTGCAACGTCTGTGAGGCTGGAAGCTCTGTTCTATTAATGCGTATAGCATCCGGATCTTCTAAACTGTGTCAAAACCGAGACATTTTTTACTTTAATTTAATTTTGTGGAGGAGGTAGACGTCACAGGGATCACCATCAAATCTGGCGAGTACGGTGAGTCGGGTGCAATGATTGTGCTGGTGGGGCCAAAAAAATGGGTGCTTCCATGCTGCAACTCAGGTGATCTGTGTCGAATGTTCTTCTTTAGACGCCTGACAACATCACAGGAGAACTTGACTTTGACAGTCTGACTATGGGGAATTGATCACCGGTGCACAACTATGAGAATTTTGAAGAAAACAACAAGCTCGTTATGGAGATTGTTGGTGTTTCCCCTTTGAAAGCTGCTGTTGGGTCTCTGGGTGCTAGCCGCTAACCCGTCTCTCATCACCAGTTACGATCCTCCACATGCCGGTCGGGTCAGTTTGACAGAATTTGCATAAGTTTGAGATCCACGGTGAAATTGCAAACGTGCATCTATGAATGTGCAGGAGTACCGGGAGCAGAGTGTTGCTGCACAAGGAGGCGACATCAAAGGAAATGCAGTAACAGTTAAATCAGGGGCACTTCTTGCTTTTTATAGACTTTCTTGATTACCCCTCATATGTCGCGATGTGGTGTTTCTCTAAACTTGTGCAGAGAAGCCAATTTAAATAAACTGAAACTGCTGTAAAGTAATTACTGGAGGAGTTTAAGGATTGAAGAGGGGAAAGAAGAAAAAGAAAAAAGCTTATGGTAAACTTTGCTGACAAAAGAGGGCATTTAAATGAAGTTCTAGCAAAACTCTGACGACACCTGAATGATTTTGGTGTTTGAATTTCATCACGATCTCCTAAAATCTAAAAAAAAACCAAACTAAAACCTCCTCTCGCGACTCAACGAAAACGTTTCATGTAGTCGCCCTCGACATCACGAAAACATCTGAACGGAGTGCGGACAAGTGCTGCCACAGAACTCGACATAAAGTGCAAACTGACGAGGTTTTCCTCTCACGGCTTCGGACCGGCCGAAGCTCCAGGAAACCAGAAGGCGAGTCGATCCTCGGGTCAACGGGTCAACGGGTCGCCGCTCCCGCTGCTCACTTCAATGGCTTTCTATCACCACGGGCTCGTAGCCGCCTGCAGAAACCCTGCAAGGATACAAACACACACACACACAACAGTCGGTGAGTTATTTAACAAGTCTGTGCGCTTACAGTTCACATGTCTTTAATGCTTGTTTTTGGTCTTTTCTCTCCTTTTTTTTTTCTGCAAATTTTTCATCTCAAATCATCACATTTTTTTGAACCATTTCTGATCGACCATTTCCAAGATTTTTACAGCATAAAAAATTTATAAAGACATCTGTGAAACTTTAGCTTCATATGTCGAGTATTTTCCAAGATTCTTGTTTGTAGATTCCACTTTCAGCAGGTTTTTTTTTTTTTAAACATTGACATTTGAGGCTGTTTGAACAACAACATCTCAGGAACTATTAAAGATGAAAAGTTATCTCTCATCAGGGTCCAAAAATAGTTGGAGAATCGCTTTAAAACTCTAGAACTGGACCAGACTGTGTACCAATACTTTTAGTTTTTGTGCTACAACTGGTCAAACCTGCTCAATCAGTTAGAAAAGTTCAGCGAAAAGAAGTCTTCTTAAGTTTTGCTACGAAATATTTCATATTAAAAGTGTTCTACATGTTCAGTTTTGTATTATTGTGACACGCAGCTGCTTATAGTTCAGAAAAGATCACGAGTTGACTTCTGCTTTATCGGTTTTTCTGTTTACATGAGCTCAAATATGGAACTTTTCATGACAGCTTCAATATTTATTTTATACTTCAACTCATTTGATTAATTATCCAACGTTGTAGATTCTGAATCAATGACATTTTGAGAAAGAAAAGTTCAGGTTTTTGTCTTTTATAGTTTCTAAGAAATTGTCCTTCAAGCGTCCTCAAATTGTAATGTGCAAAAAAAGTTGCTGCAAGTGGGTCGACAAGCACGTTTTAAAAACAACTAAGAACTTTCTGATCAAACATCCCCACGAAGAAAATCACTGATGGAATCTACTGGAACTGATGCTAATTCAAGCAGACGACAGTCATCATCATCCTGCATGAAGGAGGAAGCTACCAAGTTTTAAAAAAAACACCATTCAAGCTAAGAGACAGTCCAGGAAAGTCTGAAACTCTAAAAGTCAGTTCTTGGTGGAGTTTCTCATCAATCTGAACTTTTTAACTGCAGCTCCTGGAATCATTTCTGCCTCCTGAGTAAATCTGCTTCTGTGAGTAGCGCAGACAGTAAAGTGAAAGTGCCGAGAAGAAAAGAGGAAGCGAAAGCGACGCTCAGACGGAGGAGGAGGAAGCGGCGCCCAACTGAAAGCCTCACCTGTTTCCGAGCCTGATGCCGCTGAGCGCCGTGGTTCCGTCTCTGCTGACGAACAGTCGCAGGTTGCTGTCTGGAAAAACCACAAACACACAAACACAGTCAGCGGCCGGTGAAACAAAGCAGAAGGCCGAGAGGAGGCGACGGGTGGAAGATCGGCCCAAAGATGGTGATGGCTGCTGTCAAACTTCCAGTCAAACCTTCGTGTGTAAACAGAAAAGAGTTAAAGCCTCCAAACAACAGCCGTGAGACCATCACGCTTCCCAGCAGGACAGTAATTCAGCTTGTTTAAATCTTCTGACTTGTCAAGAGCGTGTCGACACTCGCTAGCAAGCAGCTTGCTGTCATAAACGTTGTGTAAAACAGGTCAACTTTGATTTTCTCCAGCAGGTTTGTGTTTGAATGTTTGACCTTGAAGCTTTTAGGAGACATTTAAAAGAGAAATACCGATAAAGTGACGTTTTTTTTGTTTTTTTTTTCTACTCTGACTTTTTTTTTTTGGTTAATTTACCAAAGAACAGCTCTACTGAGTCGGATCCTTAGCTTAGGATCAATCAAAGTAATCTTAACTACCGTAATTTCTGGACTATTCGCCGCTACTTTTTTCACACGCTTTGAACACTGCAGCTTAAACAATGATGCAGATAATTTTTATGAATTTGCCTCGAGGTGAAAGCGACACTGAGAGCAACAACGAAAGAGAGACTGAGGAAGTGTGTGACGAAGTCATTCTGACACTGAAGAAGACGACTTTAGTGGTTTTAGCGCAGGAGGAAGATGAAGATAGCGATCAATGACTTTTCCTGGTAGGCTGCTGTATTTTTTGAGTTTTTTTAACCAGCTGTGTTACAGGCACTGTTCAGAAAAAAGCATTTACGTACTTGTGTATGTTACCGGTCTGTATTGAATTAAAAGTTTAGAAAGTCTTTCTGTGTAAATATCTCATGTTCCAACGTGGACACCTGCAGCTCATAGACAAGTGCAGCCTGTATATGTACAAAACCTGTTTTCTTTTTAAAGCTAGCGGTTGCGGCTTTTATTCAGGTGCTTAATAATCCAAAAATCACAGTAAACAGTATCAGCAAAAACCCTAGACTGTAATATCAATCAGTAATTAATTTACTAATTTTCAGCATCCATTCCTTTGTTAAAGTGACGTCCTATAACAGCCTGACTTGATCGTATACGTGTAAACAAAGCCTCACGGGAGACTTTGTCATGGTGACCCTTTATCTAGCTAAACTCCCACAATGCTCTCTGTTTGCCAACACAAACCTGCTCACTTCCTCTCGTATTCAACAACAGGAGGCTCCACCTGGTGGCACAACCAGGTACTACAGTTAATCTACAAGACTTGAAGTGCAGATTATTCTAAGAAAATTTGTCACTTATCAGGAGTTACTTAATTAAATGACTTGGATCAGGAGCAAATAAAAACTGGACCGGTTCCTTTCTTTTTTTACTCAAAAAATGCAAACAAAAACTGAGCAATGCCCAAATGTAATCACATAACAGAAATTCAGATACTTTTCATTTGAACTGCAGGCAATGTTTCCACGGAGAGACTGAGAGGTGAATAAAACCTGCTGGATCGATAAATAAATGCAGCATGGCTCAGAACCAGTGAACAGAGGAGCCAGTAGTTGGAGATACATCCAGCTGATGGTGGAACATCTTTCTACAGCTCATATGCAAAGTAGAATCAAAAACAGTGAGTTTGTTGAGGTTATGAAAATGTAAGTCGTTAAATATCTATAGCTTTCTTTCCCAGCATTCGCAACATCTTTGGGTGTTTGGATAAGTGGTGCACATACTGATTTGTGTTTTTAAAAGTTCTCTCTACTTCTAGCTGTGGTTGTGCCATTTCCATAGAATTTATACTGCAATGAAGAACGATCCCACAGTAAGGGGAAGACAAGGGTAGAGAATTAAAATGTACCCTTTCCACCTTAAAAGTTAGTAGGTTTAAAGACGTGTTTGTTTCTTTCTTGGATATTGTGATTTAAATTCTCTCTCTTTCTACCTAAACCCTTCAGTTCTGGTCCTTCAGCTACATTTGCACCCAGATTAAGGCTGTAAACCAATCACTACTCAGTTGATACCTTCCAGGTTGCTTTAAACCGTTACAGACCCTTGTAGTAACCCACCAGAAACACCACACCGACACAACACAAAGCTGCATTATCAGTGGCAGATCAATACCCAAACAACCCGTCCTGATTCTACCGTACCTTCAGTGTTGTTGATATCTGCAAAGTTTTGGCTTTGGACAATTTTCTCCACAATGTCGTCGGCATCGATGCGAGTGTCGTTCACCCAGGAGGGGTGACTCTCCACTGAGTCCTGCTTCCTCCTGAAGCGCAGAAAACAGAAAAAGAAAGGAAAAATCTGAAGGAATCAATCCTCCATGACTGCAGCAAACACTCGGTTTTCTGTAGCGACCAATGCGTTACCTCACAGAAGATTTTGTCATGGTGTCCCTTTCACTGGCTAACCTCCCACAATGCTCTCTGCTTGCCAACACAAATCTGTTTGTTCTCTTTGCTACAACAATAAGAGGCTCCACCTGGTGCCACAACCAGGTACTACAGCTAATCTTCAATACTTGAAGTAGTATTTTTCTGTACCTGGGAGGCCTGTTGGGGGGTAAGACGGGCCGCGGGGGTCGAGGGGGTCTCTCCGGACGTCCGGCGTCCTTGTCACCCTCTGGAGGTGTGTCGGCGGTGAAACACAGGCCGCCGGAGGTGCTGCTGCCCGTCGAGGTATTCCTGCGATGAGTGAGGTCGGACAGGCTGGAGGAGCAGGAGTGCTCAGTGCTGTAGCCTGCAGGACGGTGAGGACACAGAGGAACAACTGGGTCAGAACCTCCCGTCTGACCCCTCAGAATCAGCTGTTTTTTTACATAGAGTAACTTTAGAATATTTAATGAAGCCATGCAAAAGTTTACCTTCAAACTGTGAATATTTTCAGAGTTACAGGCTCTTAAAGTGGGGTTGTAATTTTGTTATTTCTTGCAGCATTTTTAAATTTTCAAAGGTTTTCCAGGCTTATATCAGCATGTGTGATGGTGGTTGGTCAGAACAAGTTCTAGACGATGGAAGGAGCATTTTTACCATTATCTGATACCAGGATCATCGTCTAGACAGGATTCACTCTGTGCCACGGCTATTTTCTAATAGAGGCATATTTTAATACTCCAGCAGCATCATGTTTCTGCCCAAGTGTTAATACCAATAAACATGCTCCTTGCATTGTCTAGAACTTGTTCTGACCAACCACCATCACACATGCTGATAGGAGTCTGGAAAGTTTACCCAGAATGCACTTTGTAAAGTTTTCTCTGGTGAATGATCAGAAACCAGAAACACATCCAGGGTACCAGTGATTGTTTCTATGACTCTATGACATTAAACTGCTGCAGTCTGACTGTTCACACTACGAGACATCCCATAATACTGATGCTACCAGCTGGTTGTAGACTAAATGGCGCCCAACTCTGTCCAAAAAAGACAGAAAATGTTAAAAATTGTTCAGTATTTTACCAAACTGACAAACTTCAGTCCACAATGATTCAAAAAATGCTCAAAATTATCAAAACATCAACCAAAAGGACTTCAAAAGTCTGAATCAGTCAAGATTTGTCCAAAAGTCCACGTCAAGAATGATTCAGGATTTATCCAAAATGTACCAAAGTTTGTTAAAAGTGACTCAAAAGTTTCCCAAAAATGACATTAAATTGGTTAAAATAACAAATCTGCCCAAAGTTACTCAGAAAATGTTCAGAATGACTCAGAATTGTCCACAGTGGCTTTACAATGTGCCAAAATCATTCAAAAATTATTTAAAAAAAACAAAACAAAAGAAACAAACAAAAACACAGTGTATAACAAAACCAGATCCAGTGTTTAGACTGTGACACCTGGATGGATGTGAAACTGATCTGGTGTCAGTTCCACCAGAACTCAGATGTGTTTCTCCTCCTAACATGTCATGTGTCTGTCTGCTGGACTGATGAAGTTCTGAGGCTCAGAAATGATGGAAAACATCCATTAAAATGTGTGAAATTTAGGCCTTCGAGGGCCTGAAACTCTGAAAATATTCATAGCATGAAGGTAAAACTTTGCACGGCTTCATTAAACTTACATTTTTAAAAAATCATCTGATTCTGAGGAGGTCAGTGTGGGAGTCTTTTTTCATATTTGGTTGATTTTACATGGAATCACAACGTTCCTGTGATATCGGGGTTATTTTATTTGTCCAGTTGTGACGTGGAAGCATCATCTCACATCAGCAAAAGAAATTCAATAAATATATTAAAACAGCACATATAACAGAGCAGAATAATGTAAACAAAGAGATTCTCCAGTAGAACCACCACATGAACTGGAGTCTGGCAGGTATTCACTCTAGAAATCAACAGTTTCTTGAGCGTTTAAAGAATCTAACCAGTTTGTTAAAGTTATCAGGAAGCTGAATTCCCTGCTTTGTCATATGAACAGACATGAAAGCGTGGATACCTGAGAATTTGCTGTGCTGGCTGGCATAGCTGGAGTTACGAGAGTGACCGGACTGGAAGGCTTCTGGTTGGTTCTGACTGGCCTCCGACTCGTCCAGGAGACCTGAAGGCACCGACAGAAGAACACAACAACTTGCGTATTTACACGGAGGCAAAACATTTCTGCGAGATCAGACGGCGGCGGCTTTTGTTTATTCTCGGCAGCGATGGCAGCGACTTCTGACTCACAGCGGCTCTGATTTACAACCACAGACTGAAGGTTTCCTCAGTCAGAGAGCTGGAAGCTTCTCTCTCCAGTCAACTGCTCATTAAAACTGCTCTGGTTGTGTTCTAACTATTCTTGGGTGTCGAGGGCTGTTAAAAACCTCCACGTCTCAAGCTGTTGTCCACACGTTTCGTCTTTATTTCAGTTCAAACTGAACAAATCTCTGACAGCAGCAGCCAGTTTCCATCTCTAGAAGCTATGTGTTTAGAAGTTCTTCCAGAAAGTTTTGGCTCAGAGTGAAACATCTGGCTGAAAGAAGGTTGGGCCGAGATCTGAAGGACTGGAATCCAGTTCCAAAAACATTTGATCTGATGCTTCTTTCTCATTCGAATGCAATGACATCATTTTTGTGTGATATATTTTTTTATATCAGTAGTAAAATCAGGTAAACTTAAGAAAATTTTGATTGATTGTGAAGAGTTCTGTAGCTGTTCGGCTGATTTAGGAATTACAATGCTCTTTATTAGTATGGCAAAGTAAAATCTGGTGTCCTAAGCTACATCACTTGGCCTCAAACGTCTGGAGGAAACCAATCACTGCACATCTCCTGCCGAATGCTGTTCCAACAGTGAAGCACGGTGGTGGCACCATCATTGCTATGTTTCTATTTTTTAGTGAAAACGGGTTGGTTCATATGTTCTCATCCGATGAAATTTAAAGGTAGCTGCTTCAAAGTAATAAAAAGTTGCGCCTCCGTTGACATTTTTAGGTAAAGTCTCATGACATGCTGGTTTTAATGGTCCTAATTTTTTCTATTTTATTTTAAACTTTAATCCTGTTTTGCCTTATTGTAACATTTGATACCATTTTATTGTATTTTACAAATGGATTGCTTTTTGCTCGTATTTTGTCGCTCTGAAGATTTTGATGAAGTCAGGTTGTTTTTAAATTTTCTATATAAATAAACCTAAAAAAGGGCTTTTTCATATTTCTGTAGAAACATACCAGGTTCAAATGATTTAATATGATGCAATTACTGACTTTTTATGCTGCTTTAGAGTTCATTTCCGCTGCACGACTTGTTTTAAAGGATATAAATGAGTTGTTTAGATGTTATTTTGTTATCACCAATCATTCTGAACTTGGAGAAAAGATCTCATCCAGTATTCTCTGGATTAACAAAGAAAAGGAGCTGATGAGTAAAACATTTTCATTATGAGGGTTTTTTTTATTTAACAAACCTTTTGTCAACAAGTATTAATTTAATGTGGAAATGAAAAACAGAAGTTGAAAAGCAGAACTTGCATGTAGAAAACACAAAAAAAACCTCACAAAAGGCCAGTTTTATACACAAAAGACGGGACTGGTGTATTTGTTCTGTTTTTCTTTTCTGTCTGAGGGAATCTTGTAGACCTCGACAGCCTTACAAGCTTCGTGCTGCCTTCATGAAGCAGATTCATCTTTGTTTTTCTACAAACTTTTCCTCCTGGTCACCTCAGATTAGCAGGAGTTCACCTTTTGCCAACTAGGAAGCAAATCAAACACTAGTTCTTGGAGTAAAAACCCAACTAAAATAGTGTTCTTTTCCAAATCTTGTGCTGTACCTGAGCTGATGATGGAGGGCCGAGGCTTGGAGGACCGGCCCAGAGAAACCCCTCCGGCCGGGCCGGGCTCGGCGGTTCCTTCCCCCTTACAGTCCGGCTGCAGGGTGTGTTCCCGTCCGGGGATGGAGATGGACTTGGCTGTGCTCGGAGGCCTGCAGGAAAACAGCAAAGCATGGCTTATCGGTCTGGAAAAGATTAACCGAGCAAAGAGGTGCAGCTCTGCTTAGCTTGGCGTCCTCAGATAAGATTTATTCCACCGGCCGAAGGGAAAAGTGAGTCACTGGGGTAACAAACGGACGGACAGAGGACGATAAGAGTGTAAGAAATGGGCCAAAAGGTTAAAACACGCATTAAACTGAATAATAAATACGTGCAGATTGATGTATGTGAAGCAGAAACCCTCCGACAAATGCAAAAAAGTTTTACAACAGCTCAACACTGGAGAAGACTTCTGCAGCTTATAGAGCCGGAAATGTGGCGCTCGGTTGAGTTTAACCAGTTTGAAGTCCAGAAAATCTGTGTTTGTTTTTTTACATGATCATCTGAAAATAGGCAAAATACCAACAAGTGCAATCAGGTCAAAGAATGAAAAAACTCATGAAGGTGTGAAAACTGTGAGGCTTTACAACAAGTTTACAATGTAGAGACACCTGCACTCTGTCAAGCTGGAAAGTGGAATCAAGCTGAAGAAGATGAGTGTGAAAAACATGAAGAATCCCAAAAGCCACAATCCTTGTGCTACTCACGTTTTAAAACAGGGATCTCCAGACAGAAGGGTCATCCCGATGATCACCTTTAACAAACAAAAACACTTTTACAACCACAGAAACAAAGAAGAAGAACTGATGCTGACAAAATGGTAAAAAACAAAAATATTTTAAATAGTGAAAAAGCTCCACGTTTCCTTTGTATTTCTGCGTCAGGTTACTTCAGGAACTGATTGTGTTCCTGCACAGCTTACAGGTCATTTATACTTATGACTTGGTTTTAATCCCAGATAATTACAGAAAGAATTTACTATTTAACTGTGAATAAACAGCTAAAACTGTTTATAATGTCCACATCAAATATCTGTACTTTTTACAAATGATAACTCATTTTTTTTACAGCTTTTTTAATCCAGTAAAAATATTAAGGAATAACAATGGTAAATATTATTTTAAATGCAACTTTACAGGTTTTCCCTGCTTTGCTAAATTACACTTTATAGTGAAAAAAACAAGCAAAAACCCAAAACTGTAAATAATTAATCACATTTATAATTTGTATTTTCACAAAAATTAGTTTGTTGTTTATCCTGTAACCACAAAATTATTCTTATTTTTATTTATTTTTTTGACTGATTCTAAATTAACAAAAAAATCTAACAAATACTGTTTGAAAATAAGAAATAATTGTGGAAACTTTTCTTTAAAATGTCCCTGTTTTGTTAAATTAGACATAACTAGCAAAAATACTGTAAAAAAAAATCATTCACATGTTAATCATAAAAAAATGTAAATAATGTCCACATCAAATATGCTTGTTTGTTTTTTCAATTCATTCTTTTACAATTTCTAAATGTAAAATTACATGTACTCTTTATTTACAGCAAATTTTTGTAAAATAATTGTATTTTTTTGCTGATGAATATATTTAAGCTTTTGTTTTAATTGTCCCTGTTTTGTTAAATTAAACATAATATCTGGTAAAATCAGTGAAGTATAAATTTTTCATGTAGACAGTAAAAAACAAAAACAGGCCAAAATTGTAAATAGTGTCCTCAAATATCTGTTTTTGTTGTTAGTATTTTTTTTTTTTTTTTTTTTTTTTTTTTTTACAGATGGTAATTTAGTTTTTTACAACTGTCAAACAACTCTTAAATGTAAAATTACATATATTCTTTTTTTTTTAAAGCAAATATTTAAAAAATAACTGTTTTCTGCTGATGTATACATTTAAACTTTTAATTGTCCCTGTTTTATTAAATTACACATAATATCTAGTAAAATCATGTTGATAGTAACAAATAAATAAACAAATAAATCTGTAAATAACATCCACATCATATAATCTGTGTTTTTACAGACAGTAATTTGTTCCTTTACAACGTGTGACCATAAAACTACAGCTTTAATGTGTGTACAATCAGCCAAAGACTTGTTATTTTATAGATATTAGCAGCAGAACTCCATCTCGTCCTGTTGAGCTTCAGCTGTTCGGCCTGTTGTTTTTCTCTAAGCAGCAACATTAACTGGAAATCCTGCAGCAGATTCCCAGGAAGCTCGGTGACGAATGAGTTCTGCACATCTGCACAGCATGAAGCCTTCCAGAGAAAAAACTCCTCCCAACTCCCGTCTGCTGCACTGAGCAGTTTGTGTCGACGACCTCTGGGTGGCGCTGCAGAGCTCCTCAACTCGGAATGAAACCTCCGTCACCCGCTGAGACAATAAACTGCTTCAGTGCATCTTTGTGTTCATTAACATCGTCAACAAATCCGGTTCTCAAATAATCTATTGGTCCTTTTATGTCAGGATGTTGAAAAAACAGCTTTAAATCTTTTTTTTTTTTTGCTCTGGCAAAATGTGCAGAAACAAAATAATCTTCATTTTACTATCAGACAACACAAAGAAGCAGCAAATCCTCACAAACAACGAGCTGGAATTTGGCTACGTTAGGCATTTTTGCTTAATTGACGAGTTAATTAATGAGCTAATTGTTCATCTCAGGGTGATTTCCACCATCTTAAGTGGATTTTGCATGACAAAAATGATGTTTAATAGAATCAGAAATACTTTATTGATCCTCAACGGGGGAAATTGTTTTAGTTTTATAGGAATAAAACAGTAAATTTAAAAGACACAGCTGAAAAATGGCTTCTCAGTAAGTAAAATGTATCTCCAGGCTGAAATAATCAATCGATTAGTTTAGGTTAAGGCTGATTTAATGCGATTATGTTTGAGTTTCTGGACTGTCGCCATGACAGAGTGAGACATTTGGTGAGTTTTTATTGTTTTTCCACAAAATTAACAAAGATTGACGATTATTTAGCTCTTTTAGTTCAGAGTTTTTAAAATTATCTGCTTTTATCGTAATCTGTTCTTAGAAACTAACCTTTTTACCACATGTCAGCAAAGTTAAGGTGAATTAAAAACAGTTTATTCTCTATTTGTGCCTTTTTTTTAAAACCATCAGCGCCTGTTATTGTAAAACCACAACATACAGCACGAAAGGCGGGAAGATTTAAAGAAATCTAACCGTTCCCTGAGCTTGTTTCAGTCCCTAAAATATAGATTTTCAGCTAAGCAGAGGAACCAGACCACTTAATTAGCAGCGTTTCGCCTGTTTTACATGACAAATGGGATAATAGATCCCCTTTCCTTAAATGTCAAAGGTCAAAGCGTCACAGTTCTGGATTTACGACGCCTTAAAACTCCTCCTTTTCCCTTTAAACCTTTCCCCTCCTCTGTTATGAAGCGCTAAACGTCCTTGCCTTCAGTATGGAGTTGTCCTGCCGCGTGTTCTTGGTGTCGTATCCCTCCAGCAGGCAGCAGCGCACCGTCGACCCGGAACCGGCAAACTCGGCCATGTTGAGGTCCGTGAAGCCCAGCTGAGGGTGAGAGGGACCAGTTAATTGCAGATTCGCTGATTTAGGGCTTCGCTCGTTTATTTCTGGCACGAGTTTGGGAAACGGAGAGACGCCCATCACTTAGTGTAATTTTATAACGTTCGCGCCGAGAGCTTTTGAAGTGTCGGGTTATGTAGAAACCACACGTCGGTCTGAGGAGACGGCGAACCAGACTGAGACAGAAACCTGCTTTTGAAGTGGAACTGAAAAGCTTCTGCAGGCAGGTATCAAGTAGGAAGGTGTGTTTTGTCCCACTGTAGCGGTTAGATATCACTATTTATTGCAGTTAGAACATAGAAGGAAAGCTGGAACTGAAGAGGCACGAAAACACACAAAAAAACAACTTTACTTTATCTCCTCTACACGACTAAGAAAAATATGTGTTCACATCTTATTTTGCGAACATTTTGAGCCCTAAATGGCCACTTTGCCTCTGATCCTCCAAAGTCTAGAACCGCTACAGCCGACACCACTAAAAAAATGACAAGTTTTTAACTATACTGTACTATTTTAACTGCTATTTTACAGTTTGTGGCTGTTTCGTTAAGCTACCAACAGTATCGAGTACAGGCGGTCAATAACATCAAACAGTCGTATTTCTAGTGGATTTTCTTTCTTGTTTTTACACCAACACGCTGTCTTTTGGCCACAATGTTCAAAACAGCTGATTTGAAAAGCGTCACTTTGTGCTTATTTTTCACACAGAGTGGGATGTCGGCTCCATCTTAGAGAAAGAGAACATTTTTAGAGAGAATCTGCAGCGACGTTGTGGGTTTATCGGTTTATTTAGTACGGACATGCTAGGAAACAATACAGGCTTTACGAGATGTTCAAACAAGAAGCAGAAATGTGTAAATGGGTGAAGAAATTAGTTATCAGGGTCCTCGCAGGATTTTTTGACAGCGTACTAGGGGGTGGGGAGGTCTTAGCGAATGTTGCTAGCGGTTAGCGGCCGAAGACGTCGGTGTCTTAGCTGCTAACGAATAGCAGCAAAGATGAGGGTAAAGAAACTGCATCGGCGCTTGTAAATATTTTCCCGCTACATACCCTCAAAAACAACATATCGCATAACAGTCTGTTACTCTGTTGTAATGCTGATGAGAACCCTGGTTATTACTGTGCAGAAGTCTGGTCTGTCCTCATACTGTTTTCACTTCGGTATCCACAAATACGTAGGCTAACACGCGTCACCTCAAAGCTCTGGGTCTAATCTTTCTTGTGATATCATAATAACATATCTAGATATTAACATATCTGCACCATGACGAGTTCAACCGCACGGACCAAAACAATCTGCATTGTTGGAAGAGACCACCAGTAAACACCTTGCACAGCTTTGAAGCGGCCCAACAGAATGGAGACTGCTCTGTCTAACTAATCCAGTTAACTAATTCAATTGCCTGAAACGTTCCCCTGTCTGAAGAGCTGCTACGATGTAAGAGTCTATAAGGTCGACCTCAGCTGTAGCACAAAAACTGTCAGTCAATGTAATTGACTTAAGTGTCAAACTGTCAATAAACAGTGTTTTAATCGTTTTATAGCCGACGATGCACCGTCCTGATCTTGCCGTTGTGGGTTACTAATATGGGATCTTACGTACAACATAAGGCCGCCCTGTTATCACTTTTTTATCTAATTGTGCACCAATAAACCACTTGACAAATAAAGTGTATCACGTGTTCCATCTCTAAACACATTCAGAAATCCCTGCGACTAATCGACTGACTGAAGAAATATAAAGTAAAGGCATAAAAAAAATGTTTTTCAATGTAAATAAACTCAAATTTAAAGGCTTAAGTCTTATATTGTCAGTACATGCTGCAGGTGAGCCCCCCCTTTTTTCTTTCTTTTTTTTTTTTAAATCAAACTTAGCTAGCAGCAGGCACCATGACAAAGACCTCTGTGAAGCCTAATGACCGACCAGAGCTTAAATACAAACTGGAATCAACTACAACAGCATTTTCATATTCCAGTGGTGTAACAGAGCTGCTTTAGAGGCTCAAATCATATGTGTGTTGACAAAAGCTGCAATACCTACACAGGACTATTGATGTGTAATGCTGCTGACTGATTAAGAAAATGATTCACGTTTTGCATCCCTAGCATCCTGCCACAGGTTGTGCTAACGGCACTTGTGTGACAGCGGACAGAAACAACGGATCAGGCTTAGGCACGTTTACAAATCCCAGACCAACACTTAAATTAGCGGGTCGGAGATTTCAAGAAGCTGCTTTTGTCCGAGCCGCACGCCCGGTGTTGTTTCCAATTAACTTTGCAGCTCTCTCGAGCAAAAGCTTCCCCCGTTCTCCATCCTGCAGGTTTCCCTTTTCTTCAGCGTCTGTTTTCATAGGTGCGCGTTTTATTTAAGGAAGCCGACTTCTAAGGAGGGAAGTGAGGTATATTTAACTGAAGGAAATCTAAAAGGAGAGACGGGCGAAAACAGAGGAAGCGGTTCCTGTCGGGCAATCGACGCGAGTTCATCATCACGAGAGCTTCGACCTTGTTTCAGGCGTGACTCAAGGAGCTGTGACCGTTAACGGAGGCGTCGGCAGGATGTTTTTACCAGAAGACGTGAACAGGTTTCGGCTGGTGGTACAAACGCTAATATTTACACTGAAGGTTTACAGAGAGCTCATCTGTAACTGTTCGTATGTGCTTGTGAAGCGACTCTTACCTTCGTATACGCTTTTCCTCCTTTGAGTTCCTGCAGGGGGAGAAAAAAAAAAAACAGGAAGACAGTAATGAAGCCAGTGATCCAACTTCATATTACAGAGGCCTCCGATTACAGGCCTCCATGGAGACACATGAAATTACAGGCTGAGACCACACTGGTGGCTCCTGTGTAGCCCAATGAAGCCGAAATCACGACGTGGGAGAGTCTGAACTGAAATATCCTCGACGCACTTCTGTGAGAAAACCTGTTGTTACAGTCTGTGCTTTCTTGTTGCTAATTAGCTTTAGCTGCTGTTAGCAATACAGCAAAAACTCAAGGATTTAAAAAACAAAACGTCCAGCTATCCAAACGGCACTGACATGTCTGCACATCCAGCTTTAAACTTGAGTTATTAGATGTTCTGATCACATTAAACAGCAGTTTAAATGTGACTGAAACGACTAGATTTGAATATGAAGCAGGTCTCGTCTGCAAGAAATGTACAGCAACAACAATCAGTCACTTTTAACTATGAATTCAACAATATCATTACATTTTCAAGCAAACATGCAAAGTGTCTGAGGGTTCCATGTTCTTAAAAGAAAGACTTCTATGATTTGCAATGTATATTTCAAGGTTTTGGAGTGTTGGTCCAACAAAACGTGGCACCTGTAGATGCTACAGGTTAGCACACAGACAGCAGTTACATTCATTTAGTCAAACAAGCGACAGTAAAATTACGACTAACTCAATAGTCAGAATATATTAAAGTAGAAAATACAAGGGTTTGATGGTTGCAGGTTCTTAAATGACAGAATTTTGCCATTTGCAATATGGTAGAATGGATATTTTGTGGTTTCGGAGTGTTGGTCAGACAAAACAAGACATCTCTAGATGCTGCAATAAACTGGGCTTTAGAGAAGTTGCAGTTTTCAAAGGAAAACAGACAACAGCACTAAGTGTGAAGCAAGCCATTTGAATTTTTTTTGCTAAATAATTGGTGGATTATTGGCTGGATTAGCTGATAAGTTCTTGTACAATAAAAAGTCAGAAAATGGTGACAAATGGTTCCAAAGCTCCAAGATGACGTCCTCTAATGCATTGCTTTGTCCAAGTTTAGATGTTGTTGTGGATTAATTTAAACAGCAATAACAAAAGTATACTCAGTCGTAAAGAACAAAACATCCAACTACCGCTTTCCAAAAGGCGCTGAATCTCATCTATCTACAAACGCAGGTTTAAAGTTGATGGTTAAAGGGAGTTTATAGATGTGAAGACCACAACAAACAATGGTTTAAACACGACTAAATGACTCTATTTAAATATAAAGCAGCTTTTGTCTACGGCACTTCAATTAGTCAATCAATCAGCAGAAAAAGTAACGGCTAAATAAACAATCCAAGCAAATTTTGAGCAAAAATGACAAGTATTTGATGGTTCCATTTTCTCAAATGAAAGATTTTGGGGATTTTTTTGGGTCATGTCTTACAGAAGGTGGAACATTTCATGGTTGTGCCGTGTTGATCTGACAAAATTATGAGTTTCATGCAACTTGGTGGATCGCTATGTTTAAAATTGTGATAGATCACTGGATTTGATTGGAGGATTGCACTTCTCGTTACTTTAAGAAGCATAAACAGTAGTGAAACTGTATTACACACTATGATGGTAAAACTTTTCTTTCTATCTTTTAATATGAAGTAATCCCTGGTTCGAACTGTGAATGAAGATCTGTATCCACTACAACACCAGCTGTTGATTACCTTTTTAGCTAAATTTTGGCCTGTTTTCAAAAATGTTTTGGTCCATCTCAGTCATTTATAACCAAAACTATGCGTCAATAGGGTTTAAAAATACCAGAATTATTCTTTAGGAGCATATCAGCCCAGCTCTTTGTTCAAAAACCAAAAAACCTGTCCTGGCTCCACTTTAAAACACCACTGCAATGAGAAATTACTGGATAACGGCAGGCATCCATTAAATTTTGAACCGTTATGCATGTCGAATGCTGTAAGTATGATAAAACGCATCCTTGTTGTCCAAAAATAAGAAAATAATGGCCTCAAAATGATCCACATTACAGCTTATACTTAAAACCATCCTTTATTTCTTTGGCTCATCTCCAGGTTGAGAGTCGTACCTTCCTGACTGAAACCCTGCAGACAGATGGGTCCAGGACTCCGGTGTGAGGGTTGGCGCTCATCTTAGACACAAAGGTGAACCTCTTCCTCCAGCGAACACAGTGTTCCTGAACCTCCTCCCTGGAAGAACAAAAAACCACAGCAGGAAGACGTGAATCTCTGACACTTCCAATGAATTATTCATTTCACAATTCAGTTCTCTTTCTGCCAACTCCTCATCTTTGATTTTAAAAAAATGATTCATTTCTTAACAACACATATGTTGAAACATGTAAAACAGCAAAAACCTAAAGTCTGTATTGAAACACTGAGCTGGATTAAATCAGATCTTCCTCCACTACTTTTTTTTTTTTAGCACAAACCCAAATGTCGCTGTTTTCTCTGACTTCAGGACAACACATATTTTCCAGTCATGTCATTCGTGTCTCACAGTCTCATGACCGGTTTGTCCACCGAGGATCAAATTAATCAGAGCGACGCTGAGAAAACATGTCATGAGCAACTTTTTCCAAAACTATCCGGCCTGCAGAACCGACTCCCATGACTTCTGATGCCGTTTACAGTTCTTCATTGCAGAAACTTCAACCGTTCTCACAAAGACGTCGAAAATAGACGTAGTGTTTTGACATTTTCTCAACAAAGACCGACTCTCGAGCCACGAAGCCACTGATGGAACAACGTAATGTTGATTTTCCCGCCTGCTTTAACTGACAAGAGAATCTGTGAAGGAAACCATGTACAATGAGCTACAGGCTTCTGTAAAAACACAGTTTGTCGTGTCAGAAATGCCAGCGAACAACCTTTACATCCTGGTTAATGGGCAGAAGCCGAACAATAGGTGTAAAAACAGACCAGGTCTGTTTGTTCCTGAAAACAAATATGATCTGCAATTCAACAAATTCCTCAGAACTGTCACGGCAGCAGGACGGGAAATGTGCATCCAGATGTCAGCGTTATGCAGCTATGAATTGATTAATGCAGCACTAGTGACAAAACAAGATCAAAATGGCATTTTTCTGCAACCTAATGTGTCATTTATGACGCTTGGAAACAACACAGTTATTTCATTTTCGGGTGTTTTACTTGTATCTTACACATTTGTAGACAAATATTACAATTTAGGGGTTTTTGAGGGTCATTACGGAGCAAAAGAAGATCTGGAAAACTCTTCAATCTATTTTATGCCTTCCATCCACACTACTACGCTGTTTAAGGACCCTTTAAACAGAGACTTTTGGAAAACGTCAGGGTTGTGTTTCAGCCGAATGCATTTGGAAACAGCGACGCAAACGCACGTTCGTTTTCTAATTGTGTCTGAAATGTCAAACGTGTCAGTTCCAATTTTTCTCCCATTATACTGATTAAACAATTAGAAAATTAAAGCCGTTGCTGAACTTCTTGTTGTGCAGTCAAACAAATCTCTAGTCTTAGTCTGTAGTATTTTTTTAAACCCCAAAAAATCCCAACAACCTCTTGCTTCATGTTTACATGAAAAGTCATTTAATATACCCTTTTCAGGTGGGTTAGTATTAGGGTTGTCACAATCAAGATTTTTTGTCCATGATCCAAGTCATTAAATGTTTAGCATTTGATGATTCAGACTCCCAAACAGGTTTACTAGATAATCTGTATTTCTGTTCAAATTAATGTTACGTAAGTGGTCACGAACCTCGTTATAAAGCTCTGGTAGAACACTGTCTGAACTCTAGTGTTGGATGGTTTGATGTACTGAGGCTCCAAAAGCTCCAAAAGATGGAGAAAACCTGTATTCTCTACATGCAAGTCAGAAAAATGTATTGCAGATCAGCTGTAGTACCCGTTTGTTCCACCAGGTGGAGCCTCTTACTGTTTAGCAACCAAAGGGGGCGTCACTCAGGCTAGAGGCAGTTCGTGTTGGCAAGCAGAGAGCATTGTGGGGGGTTTAGCTAGCAACGGGCACCATGACAAAGACTCCTGTGACGCTTTATGACCAACAAGAACTTAAATACAAACTGGAATCAACTAGAAAGGCGTTTTAATGTTCCAGTGGTGTAACAGAGTTGCCTTAGGGACCCAACCAATTAATAAACTACTGATGCAGTGGATGAAAACAAAGGATCAGGCTTAGACTGCACTAATCCCAATCTTTAACATCTGATCATGACGTCCCTAGGTAGCATGACAGAGAATATCTCCGAAACGGTGATACAACACTCTCCTGGACAGATATGGTTTTTGTTTTAGATTGCTAAAGTTAATCTTGGTATGTTAGCACACAGACGTCTGATAATTTGAATAGAGACGATGCAGTTGTGCCATAGATCCATCTTTAGAATTTAGAACTCTAGACTCTAGGTGGACTTTTACATGCGCAGTACAACTTTAAAAATGTGTAGTTTTTGTGCTCATTTCAATCAAAGACTACAAATGCATCTAGAGCTAAGGGGAAAGTCATTAGTGTTCCAAGTACTTGCTCATAAACTGAAAAGTTAAATGGTACAGCAGGATCAGAACGGTATTACAACTAATCTGTACTGTGACCTGAATGTGTGCACCAAACATTCACGTGAATAAATCCAATACCTGTTGAGCCAGTTCACTGAAAAACACAAGTGTCAGGGCAAACGTCAGAAGATCACCAACAACGTTAAGATTGATCCAATGGGAACACAAAATTTCTTGGTAGTAAAGTCAACATTTGTTGAGATATTTCAGTCTGGACCAAACTCGACACACAGACAATGAGGTCTATAAATATCTATATATTCTTAGTCTGGCTAAAAATGAGCTTTCGCTGTGAGAAGTAGTAATCTGTATGTTTTTTGTAGGTAATTATGAATGTCTGTGCTGCTAAAACAGAGACATCTCAAAAAAAACCCCACAAATGTCAGGATGTTTGAAGTTGTTCTAAAAGCTTTAAAATACTACATACTCATTACAGAAGATAATTACCGCATGCAGGTCCGTCTTCATTACACTAAGAACCTACACTGTTCTGTAGATCACCATCATTTTGTCAACCAACCATTCCAGTTAAACACCAGCCTGTTAAAAAGCCCCGTAATTTCCATAAATGTTCTGTCAATCACCAACGGAAACTAAAAAAAAAAAAAAAAGTTGTGTTTTTCTCCCTTTAAATGGCAAACAGCTTGCTTTGGAAACTTCGATTTGGATTTTGTCCAACAACCCGCTGAGAAGAAGTAGATCAACCGAACAGCCGAATGTTTTTGGAGTCACTTATAACGGCATGACGCCTCTTTAATTCCCCCGCATATAAATCACACAGCTCCGTAGTGGGGGTGCTGCTAATGAGCTTATTTCTACTATAGAACGTCAAGCAAAGTCCAATAACATGCTGCTTGACCATCCAACACAGTGTATTTATTGCTGAACGTGTAACTTTAATACTTATACTCTGTTTGCAATTAAAACGCGATAACAAATACATGCAGTCCAATGTGTGTGTGAAGAAGAAGGGTGAGGCGGCCTGAACGAGTTCCTCTCAAATACAACAACAGTAACTGAATAAAAAGGAAGCATCGGATGCAAAAAGTAACTCGATGCGCAAACGTTCCTGAAAATACTGACGAAATCTTCATCTGCAGAAGCTGACAGAAAAGACTAAAAACTACAATACAGTCATACAAATTTACATATGTTTGAGCAGCAGAAGAAGTATATTTTGTATTTCTGACCACTTTAATTATCTTGTGCCTCCACTGATTCATATTAGATCCCAGTTTCTACAAATTCCCATTATTGCTAGTTACAGGGGCAGTATTACGACTCCTGTTTGCATCATAATCTTTAAGTGTTTTAGGTGTTCAATCAGACATCGATTGCCATGTTCAAATATTGGACCAGATCGCAGAATAAAAACATTAGAGATGTAGTGCTGACCAAATTCTCATTGTGTCAGAACATCTCTAGTGTTACTTTCATAAGAAAAAAAAAGTGATTTTATGGATTAATCCATTATTTTTGGTAGCAGGAAGAACAAACTACTTGTATACGCCCCTACATTTTCACAACTTTGAAGTGGTCCAACCTAATGGAGACATTTAATGGACATTTCCTCGAAAAAGGGGAGGTTTTTTTTCTGGTTCTTTCACACTGTTGCCACCTACAAGGAAATGTTGGATTGTTGATTTCTCTGTTTAAAATTTCACCTGACTATGTTTAGTGTTATATGAGATAACATATGTTGTGAAATGTTGCTATATAACCAAAAATGAAAGGAACTGAATTGAAAACTCGGGTTCAGACCGTCAAAGAAGTAGTCGGTGTGGCTGCATTTAGTTCCAAAGGGATGGTGCATATAATACAAAACAACCAAATATGCTGCCAATATTAGCATTTCACGATGATTTCTAACTAACATAGGCTAATAAGGCTAATCTAGAGACGACGTACAGATTTCTATTTTCACCACAACCCACTGATTGGTTGAAGAGCAGGTACGATTTCAGTCTTTGGTTCACTACAGCCCGAAAAAAAAAACATGAAATTGAGCTTGTACTTGATGTTTAATGAGGACATACAGGGTTCTTTTAACAGAGTAACTGTTACACTGCTGCCTGAAGAAATTACGCTGCAAATTGGGCGTTACCCTGTTTTCAAGGGTACGTAACAGGAAAATATTTAACAACAAGCGTCGATGGAGTTTTACTACTGTCGTCTTCGCTGCTAATGCTGCTTTTCACTAGCAGCTAAGACGCTAACGTCTTCGCCCGCTAACTGTTAGCAACATTCGCTAAGACCTCACCCCCCCAGTGTGCTGTAAAAATACCCTGGTGAGGACCCTGGCATCTAAAATCGAATGGCGTCATTATTTAGAAATCACAAACATGCTCAGTTAATTTCCATATACTTAAATGGCGATCTGGGGTAACCTTATGGAACGGTCTGGAAAACAATCTCTGCTGGAAAAATGCCATAATGTGGAACAGCAAACGTGTTCTTGGGGTTTCTAAAGATGTTTTTAAGGTTTGAAGCAAACAGAAAATGGCAACATAAGAGATGTAGCAGGTACAAGTTAATAAGTTAAATGTCATCCAACTCGTTTCAAGTCTGTTTATCTCATTATGTGCGTTTTGTTTTCTCTTGTTTGCATTCATGATAGTGTGGTATGTCTGAAATAAATCATAGAAAAAGAAACAAATCTGGCCTCAATTTGCTCTGGAGCAAAGTGATCAATCACTCAATCAACCAGGAAAATGGGAAAGCCACTTTAATCAGTATGTACACGAGACGTTTGGCGTTATCACGTGAGACAAAAGGCACAAATGACGCACAGACACACAATCAATGGTGAACACTGGCGGCAGCTGCTCCTCACGCTCCCCTCCCCCTCCATCTTATTCACCATCATCACAACAACACTGTGATTTTCAACACTTTTCTCATCTCTCCCCTTCGTTCCAGTCCTCCAACCACTTTAAAGCACTTTTAACGCTGAA